ATATGCTAGATCGAGCATATGTATGAAAAAGGATTTCAGAAGGCGAGTATAAGAAATCCAAGATATGTTTGACAGAAGTATGAAATCCCTAGTTGAGTCTAGGAGAAATTGTCATAAGTACTTGTTTGAACACATTCATGTGTGATAAGTCGTTTTGTGAAAACTTTTGAATGGTAAGTTGGAAAACTGCGAGATAATACTTGGGACGAGTATGAGTAGGTGTGAATAGTAGTAGAGGCCTATACTATTGGAAGCACATGAGTCACACTTGGATCAGAGAAAGTTACAAGGTTACCAAAAAGCTAGTAATTGATTTCGTTCTTGTTCAAGTATGTCATTACCATTGTTTCGGTGATGACTAAGAATATGATTTCCATTGGAACCTTAGTGGTTGTAAAGTATCAAGTCCGATTAGTATAAATCCGCGAAGTGAGTTGACTGGTTCAGAGAACCATGTCTTGTGTAGTGATGAAATTTCAGTCAGAAGATAGAAAAAGGAGATGGTCAAGATAGTCGATAGAAATATAACGATCTTCATTAAAGGATTGAGCAACCATTTGCTAGAGATGTTACCTGTTATAATGATGATGAAAAATTTAGTTATTCATGAAAGAATTATGGTGTGATATCTGTGATTTCATGATCAATCGGGATATTTTGTCATTCGATAAAGCTGTCAAGTATGCCCGAAAGTGCGAGCATGACTTGGAGATACGTGGTGCCACTTTTTCTGTTCTAAAGCATCCACGTATTGATCGAACTATTCCTGTTTCCATCATCTTGATCTTTTTGATCTGATTCTAATACAAGAGTGCATTCTCTTAGTACTTTTCGTGGTCGCGATAGGTCACAATCTTTTCTCATTAATTGTCATCACGTTGAAATTGCGGAAAGAATCAGCAGGACTCGAATATTGTGACTAGTTCATTTTTTTCATCAACTCTAGACCTACGCACATCTTATTTAATTTTTAATGCCTCAGATTCTTCAGTGTCTCATGAATTTTCAGATTCTTTTCAAATTTCTTGCTATGCACTCGCGCAACCATTTTACATAGATACCGCGGGAAGTGTATCATTACTTGCTGATAAAGTCTATAGAGATTTTGTCATAGAAACTGAAGGTTATAGTTTTCATGCTAACCATAAACCTATCTTATTGCCCAACTTTGATATTATTCTCGGCATGGATTGGTTATCAAAGAACCATGCAGAACTTGTGTGTTACAAAAAAATGATAAGCGCCCCTATCGAAAGAGAAAATTCTATTTGTGTCTATGGTGAAAATAATAATTTATTTCTTAAAAACCCGTAAATCTATATCAAAAGGATATTCTATTTATTCAACTTATATAGTCTCATAAGAGGGGAAGGAAAACTATAAATGATATTCTAGTTGTAATTAATATCCTGATGTTTTCCCCGAAGAATTGCATGGACTACCCTCAGATAGACGAGTAGAATTCTGAATTGACCTTATGTCTAGTGCTACTCCAATTGCCAAAGACTGCTATATAGAATGATATCATTTGGGTAATAGTCGACCGATTGACTAAGAGTGCACATTTCTCGCCATGCGTGAAACAACTCCAATGGAGAAATACGTACAAGTATACGTGGATGAAACGTGAATTAGGATCTCGAGTTGCTCCTAGTACAACTTACCATCCCCAGAAAAATGATCAGAAGAATAAAACAATCCAAACAGTAGTAAATATACTGAAGGTATATGAAGTATTGTATGAGTGTAAATGTTATACTCCAATATGTTGGCGTGATGTAGGACAGAAAGTCATCAGTGGCCCTGAAATGATTCAAGACACCACTAACAAGATACAAATTATCCGAGAAAGAATGAAAGTGGCCCAGGATCGACAGAGGTCCTATACAGAAAAGAGGAGACGACCTGTAAAATTCCGAGTGAGTGATTTTGTAATACTGAAGGTATCTCCATCGAAAGGTTTTATGCGATTTAGGAAGAAAGAACGATTAGTAAGCAAGCATACCACTTGGAATTTCCTGAAGATTTGGCAGATATTCATGATGTGTTTCATGTGAGTTATCTGCACAAATGCTTGAGCATATATGATGAAACGGTCCCGTTATCCGAGGTGAAATTTGATAACAAATTAAGATACGTAGAAGAGCCTGAAGAAATCATAAATAAAAGAACGACTGAACTACGTAATAAAGAAGTAGAGTTGGTGCTTATCAAATGGAAACATCATCGAGACCCAAATTATAATTGAGAAAATAAGAATGAGATAAAAGCGAAATATCCCCACTTGTTTTAATCGATGTAATTGCGGGGACGAAATCCTCAAAAAGGAGGAGGTATTTGAAACATACACTTTTTGAAATCATGTTTTGTAGTGAATAATATTATGAAATATTATATAATTTTGAAAGTTGAGTTCTAACAAGATAGTTTTTACTAAGGTTGAAGTAAAAGTATGTTTAAAATCACTCTAAAAATATTAGATGTCTTATGAGATTCCAATCAAATGTCAAATATTGAAATTTAACGGAAATATAAAATTTGAAATTCAAAGTTGTAGATAATTTCGTTAGAAACATTTAGGCGAAAACCTCATCGAAATTCGAGTTATAACGAAGAAGTTATGACCAATCGAAGATCCATGACAAAATCGGCACGACGCCGAATGACGTAAAAAGTGAATTTTTGATTAACTACTTTTTAGCCTTGTCAATCTAAATGAAAGTCCTAGTATTTATTAAACCGAGAATTTTCATAAAAAGAACGCCAAAATATGACTTTGTATGAGGAAGTTATGATTTTTCTAAGTTTCGGAATAACAGTAGACAACTAAAAGCTCGAAATAAAGATTAAGCGATATTTAGCCAACACAACCTAAACGAGAATCGAAGGTCTCGTCAATAGTAGTACAAGGGTAAAAAGACTGACGAAAACGGACGTCGGATGAAGAAGTTATGAATTTTTAACGGATTTTCCTGTCCCAGTCTTTTAAAAATAAAAATATTAAAATAAATTCAAATTTAGCCAACAGAGTCTAAACGAAAGTTGTAGAATATATTCCTGCCTACGTGTGCATATAAAGAACGTAAAAAACGGATCCCATATGCGAAAGTTATGGATTTTAGACGTTTGGGGCTCAATTTCCGAGGAATCTCGCATGGATAAGGTCGGATCTCACACACGTCACCCACCCCGTGTCCGATCTTAGTGAGTCAGTAGACACGTGTTCGATTTAGAGAGTTGTTCGAAGTGCGGTCCAATTTGGCATCCGATGCGTGCCCTCCTCGCGTGTCCGAATCTCGCACCCGCCACCTGCCTCCCTCGCATGTGCGCCATCCGGAGCCCCTCGCTGCTGCCGCGTGTTCCCCCCTTTGGCCGAAGACATCCAAATCCGTCCCTATAAATAGTGCTTACGAGACTTGCCGGGTAATTTTGGAAAATTACCATTTTCACCCCTAATTTCATATTTTAGCTATTTCCACTTCCCACGAAGCCCTAGAATCATTTCCAACACCCGAAACACACTCCGAAGTGCCCAAATAGCCCGATAAATTTATCTTTTCGGTTTGAAGCTCTACCCTCGCAAGGCCCAATTGTCAATAAATATCCCGATTTTTTTCAAAGAAAGCTATATTATTATAACGAAGTGCTGCACAAATTACTATTTTAACCCCAGGTTATTTCTAGGTGAGTTCAATATATAGGAACAATTGTATGTTATGTATTATATATGCTATGTGCTTTTACGCGTTATTATCTCGTGTTGTTATTTCATGCTATATTGATAGCAAAGTTATATCTTTGACCATGTGATCAGTGAAAGGACTTAGATTCACGGTGGTACTGGTATGTAGCCTCTGGCCATATAGAGCATGTCTCCGTAAGAGAGTGACTTCTATTCTATGACATTGGCAAATGGTTAGACAGGGCTATAAGCCTGAAATCTACCAACATGTTAATCAGAAATTGTATGTCTTCTATGCCCTTTTTGGCCTAAGCTTTATTGATGTATGTCAAGTATGGAAATTGTTATGTCTCACTGATTGTATATCTTGAATCAAATCATTGATTAATATGGAAAGCTTGTCACATGATTCACATATGCATTTGTTTTTCCTTGTTCCTCTTTGCTTCTTCAATATTGAAGTATATATATGGCATAACATTATACTTTATCTATTACTGAACTCATTAAGCATCACCGCTTAGCATCTTAATGTTTACTAATTGCAGGAGATAAGTAACCAGTATAGCTATATACTGATAGAAGATTTTGAATAGTTTGAAACTATTGTATTTTGTACTCATGTATGTATATAACTATAGTATCCTGGGAAGTTATGTAATATATAACATAGTCTTAACAGTCAGTTTGTATCCAGTCGTTTGTAAATAAATTATCAATGTAAAATATTATTTATGAATATGTATGTATGTAGTATGTTTTAGAGTAACAACTGTTTCAATTATGAAAGTTTGGATCTTTAAAAAATGTACATCAAAATATTAAATAAACTTCAAAATATTTCAAAGGTATTTTTTTTACAATTTTTAAATATAAACTAAATCGTCATGTCGATTTAACTAAAATATCTAAAATCAATTTTTTTATAATAATTACAAATAAATGGTTTTTAAATTATTTAACAATAATAATAATTAAAAATAACACAACCTTATAAATTACATTACATTAACTTGAGTTATGGTGATTTGGTAAAATATGTGGAAGATAAAATAGATAACCTATTGACTAATTGTCAAATCCAGGACATGATGCATAGTCTCTTGTTCGCAGTGGGGGAATAATTGTTGCGTGAAAGTTGATCCGAAAATCTTTTTTAATGAATATTAAATGATATGATTTTAATAGATGTTATAATATGGTTAGAAATCATTACAACTTTAGGTAACAATTTAGTGTAAAAAAACTATTATTTCATAGTTAATATCAATTGAATAATTAGTTTCAACATAAACTTGTAATATTTTAACTATATAGTCCCCTAGTAAACACATAAATGAACAATTCAAACTTAAGCAACCCCAAAGTTTGTTTCATTCTTTGATTGCCAAATTGTCCTGGACAAACTCTAAGCCTTTCTAGCTTCCTCAAGTGCGGCATATTGGAATGGCTAATAAAGGCTTAGTACGAGGAATAGTTAAACCAAACTTTTCATTCATATCCAGATCACTTGGTGACATTCCATTTGGTAGTTCCCATTCAAAGCAATGTACAATGTTAGCAATCACTAAACCAATGTTCAGTAACCCCATATTCATTCCAGGACATCCTCTCCTTCCCATGCCAAATTGTATAAGCTGACAATCAGCCCCACGAAAATCAATATCTTTGGCAAGAAACCTCTCTGGAAGAAACTCCTCCCAATTTTCAGACCAAAGTTTTGGGTCACGTCCAAATGCCCAATAATTTATAATAACACGAGTCTTCTTTGGTATATAGTAGCCATCAACTATGACATCCTCCATAGATTCATGCGGAATCAATAATGGAGAGACAGGATAAAGCCGAAAAGTCTCCTTAACTACCATGTGCAAATAAGTTAGCTTTGCCAAATCTGTTTCTTCAACCTCGTTTTTGTCTCCAATCACAGTCTTCAATTCTTTTTGGAGCTCCTTCATTACTCTAGGGTGTTTGATAAGTGCAGCTAATATCCATTCAATTGAAGTTTTTACAGTGTCACGGGCCCCAGCTACCATTTCTAGTAAAATGGCCTTCATGCTAGACCTATCGATTGTATAGGATAGCTCATCATGGGTATTTGAATATTGTTGTTTTAGTGACATCAATATGTCAATGAAATCCATTTCATCATGCCTTTGAGAATCGACAAGACCGTGTTCTTCATGCTCATTTATCAATGTCTCAAGCATTTCATCAATGTCTTTTTCTAACGACTTAAAGCGTTTAGTTAAGCCCTGTAAACCCAGAATATGAGAAATGGATCAGAATCTTTGATATATTTCTCAAGACTCAAGACAATTAATAACTCAAAGCAACTATAAAAACCAATCATGTCTAAAATGTATGAAATACACGATTTTGATGTATTAGCTTTCTAAAATGTTGTTATCCTAAAGAAACATAATTAGTATCTTACTATCTTACTATCATTTAATCTATGAAACTGATATACTGTCTCTGAATATTAGCATAAACGGAACACAAACTCTTTAATCGAGGGGGCCAAAGTAAGTATTTTAAAACAAAACCATACTCCACTTATATGATGGTTGTTACTAATTAATTCTATACATTTAATTACTTATATTTGTTGTTGATTTATGTTAATAAAAATTACCGTTGTTATAGAAATATAAAAATGACTAATTTTTCAAAAAAAGAGATTAAAAAAGGACTACAATATATGAAAACTTGCGTTAATTATATTATCAAAAAAATTATTAAAAACTTGGTTTGTTCCAAGTAATGCATTGGCTGTCCTATAATTCTTTTTTCAAAAAATTCATCTTTCGTCTATACGTAAAGCCAATGTTTGATTCGATTGGCAAACATGCATATTAGTATACATATTTTTATGTGTATTTAATAAAAATATCTCTAAGAACTTTTGGCAAAATTGAGGTGAAGATTATGAAATTACGTACCTGAAGATCAAACGGAGCTAATATTCTCACATAGTCTGCCAAATTGAAGGCACCTGCTAGTTCCATTGTCTCATCAAGTACGTCCTTGAAAATCGACCTATCCTTATTTTTCTTACCAAAAATCATCCTACACGTCATTCCATCAACCAACGCACCTACAGCCTCATCTAAATCCACCACCTTACGCTCCATTGATGCAACCTTCATCTCCTCCACCATCAACCTAACTTCCTCCCTTCTCATCCCTGCAAAAGATTTAACTTTCATAACATTCAGCAGTTCCAACGTACAAAACTTTCGCACACTACGCCAGTATGGTCCATATTCCGTAAGTGTCATTCCCTTGCTACCATAAGATAGGTATTTTGCAGCTTCTGTATTGGGACGAGAAGCAAAAATGGCGTCATGGGTTACAAGGAAGAGTTTGGCGGCTTCTGGTGAAGAGACTATCACAGACTGGATGGACCCAAGGCGGATGGACATGATCGAACCATACTTTTGGGAGAGCTTGTGGAGGGCACGATGTGGGAGATTTCCTAATAAGTGGAGGCTTCCGATGATTGGTAAGGGCATGGGGCCTGGTGGTAGTTTTTTACGGTGGACATGAGTTGACCACCGTTGCCAAAATAAGATAATTCCGGTGAAAACTAGGAGTATTGCAAGTGCAAAAGAAAGCATTGTCAAGTCGTTTGTTTAAGCTTCTATGGTATAGATTATCTTTGTGTTGTAGATGTATAAATAGATGGATTGGGTTGATGAACTTCATGGATTCTTCTGAGTGTTAGCTGATTAAAATCTTTTTGGCATATTATGTTTGTAATTTTGCATAACGTGTTTGTGCTCCCTTTGACCTATTTAACACGGTTATCGGATTTGTTGAAGTCATTTTTTTTTAACTTGTTTAAATAAGTTATAAGAAAGTTGTACTTGAATAACTTCTTCCAAAGTGATTATTTCACCGACCCATGCATGGTCAATTAGCACGTAGCCCTTGTTCTTTTTAATTAATTTCCATAAGTATAATAAAACACTATTACACTGTTATATGTATTAGCATATTAATATTTTTATATATTTACTAATTAAAGGAATTGATTATTATTTATTTGCTATTTTATATATATATATATATATATATATATATATATATATATATATATATATATATATATATATATATATATATATATTGTATCTTGGTCCATGTATAATAGTGTTTTTTATTTATTCCAAAAAAATCAAATTAATTTAGAGTATTTCCAATGGACTTTATTTTATAATCTATTTCTATTTGTTTTTTTATTAATCAATTATTATCATAAAGCATATAGCTGTTTATTTATTTTTTCGACACGATATGAAACTGACACGGATATAAACGCGTTTGAGTTGATTTTTTGAACCTGCCAGCCTGTTTATTAAACATACGAGTTGACCCGTCAACCAGTTTAAACATGGATGATTTCATGGAAAACAGGAGTGGATAGGAGGTACAACTCAAAGGTGACAGTTGAAGACTAAAGTGGATTGGAGGTATCAGGATCTTCATCATATGAATAAGAAAGTCACATGTAATGTTCCAATTTTCACATCAAATTTTTTTCATTTTTAATTAAGTTAGGACTTCATATATTTAGACTCCAAATTTAGAAAACTATTTCTTCCAACGTATATTGTTTAAAATCAAAGTAATAAAGTGAATATTGTATCCTTATTGTTGTTGATGAATGTGTACAGTCATGCCTTCGCCTTCTCACGATCACTGATGGTACCTGAAAACATAAGCAATTGGGTAAGCACGATGCTTAGTGAGTTTCACCCAAAATATCACACACCACAATACACATACAATGCATGCATACCGGTCTCACGATCACAAAGATTGGATTGCCCTCGGGCCCACAACCACAAAAACCAGATTGCCCCGGGTATGTTGGCATGTTGTCTCAACCCAACCGCTCCTCCCTATCCTCCATGCCTATGGCTTACAACCGGCCTACACCTGGTATCATGGCCTACAACACAAAGCATGACTACCTTAACCTAACCGTCACAATATGTATGTTGGGTTAGATGTATAAGATAATGACTAAATTGTTATATAGTTGAATTATTAGCAAAGTTCTTTTAAGTTGCCCCCAAACCTAGTAATTTAATAGGATGAGTTTTGGAGAGAGAGAATGACTTATTGATTTATTATATGATTAATAAATAGCAATAAATAATTTATTGATATATTATAAGAATAATATATTCATTAGAAATAGTATTATTTAATTAAGAATTAATCAGAAATTAATTAGAATTAATTTTTGGATTAATCGGATTAATTTAAAAGTGTAAGGACCTAAGCTGTAATTGTTCAATAGTTGAACAAAAAGGTTCCAGAACCTTCCCCGAAAGTCGTGGACAGTTTTGGAGTATAATTCTAGGGTTTCTATAATATCACTTGAAGATAATTAGGACATTGGATAATTACCTAATTTGAAATAGTAGTATTATATTCAAATTATGGTTTCTAGATCCTAGTGTAGATGTAAATAGGGCCTTAAACCCTCTTATTTTCAGCCACTTGATACCTCAAGAGTATAGCCAAAAATTACCTTCCCTCTCCTTTCTCTCTTCAAGTTTTCTTAGTTGCTACGGTTTAGGTGTGGACCATTAGAGGCAAGAGCTTTCTGGTGCTTGCTTCCAAGAGCATTTGAAGAAGGATTATGTTAGCTATTTACAAGAATAATCAAAAGGTATGCAAACCCTAACTTATTTATGATTTTCAAAAATACTAGGGTTTCCATAGGGTTCTTTGATGTTCATAGATTATAGCTTTCAATAGTGAAAACATAGATCCAATTAGGTTGCATGTGAACTTAAGAGTTAAGTTATTTTCCACCACATGATTTTTTGTAACCTATGAAACCTATCAATGTCGAAATGTAAAGAAATCAAGTAGGAACATAAGCACATGCAACTATAAATCTATATGTCGAACAATTCACTACCGCCTACAAGGCCCCTCACATCACACTGCTCTGCTACCGAAAAAGCTCCAAGGAATGCACATGCATATGTAACCAGATGCGAGATAGACACATGAAAAAATTATCCTACTCTAGATCCACAACCAAACAAGGAACATGAAAGAAATCCTTGATCAAGAGTTGTCAGGCTATCCTACATGACTACATACATCCCACAGGGCATTCCACTAGAAGATAACCATCCTACTGGTACTTTAACCAACATACCACTACTCCTACATCCTAATACATAAGGATATATATATATATATATATATATATATATATATATATATATATATATATATATATAGAAAATCACTACAGCACAACAACATCCTATACACAAGGACACAAAACCAAATCTATTGGGTCGGCATTGGTGCCTTAGACCTATGGGTACAGTGAGGAAAATCACCTAAATGGGAAACGAAGAACCCCGTGATACACTCACTTTCAGCACTGATTGCTCCCCAAGACCTACTCGTACCAAAAACCAGGTAGAGCCTTAATCAACAGCCCAAATCCTTCAAGTTTGACCCTAAATAAAAGTGGCCAAAAAGTCAATGGTCAACTTGCTCAAATTTAATGCCACTTTGTGGGCCCTCCTTGGTCACATCGTGGGCCCTCCTTGGTCACGTTGTGGGAACGCAAGGTCAAGTCAACATGCAAGACATGGCCATGTCTTGGTAATTTCAGGACAAGATAGTCGCGATTCTAAACTTCACCACGTCATGGCTACCCATTTCCATGTTGTGGCTACTGGCAGAATGCCATTTCTCTCATTAAGAGATTAATCCTTATAGATCAAAGCTCGTACCTCCATATTTACTCTTCCACACTAACTTAATGGATATAGTTTCCAACTTTATCCATTAGGACCACATACTAAGGCGAGATTTAGCATTCTAAGTCCAGTAAGTCCTTAGTGAGGCTATAACTTGAACATGGACACAAAATACACCAAATATGTTCCTTTTTCTCAATCAACGGAAGTCCAAGGACCTAGGAAAGCCACCATAAGTTCTAAAGGTCTTCAAATTCCAAGAACCTCGAAGAAAGGGATCAAAACTACCCAAATATGAGCTAGAACATAGATTTAGAAGAAAGGTCAATGTATGAACTTTATACCTCCAACAAATCAGAAAGCTGAAGATAATGTTGTATCCAGGCTTGCTTCTTATTTCCTTGCTTCCTTGTGAACTTCCCTCTTCCAAAGCTCCACCAAAAACCCAAGAATAAGGCTCAAAATAAAGGAAATGGACTCTCAAGCATCCATGGAGGCTAGGGTTTCGAGATGGGGAGGTGGAGGCTGAAGAAAATGAACTAGAATGAGAATTAAGGTGTTTATATATATGAGGGAAACCCTAAAAATCTTGGGTTTGAGCTGCAGCAGCTGCCACGGTGTGGCCATCTTCATGCAACACCTTAGTATTTCCAAAACACACGCTTCATTTAATCTCACACCATGTTGTGGGCATCCATTCGAGAAATGAGTGTTATAATTCTCCGCGACTTAAATTTGATTTCGTCCTTAAAATATGTCCATATAACTTACTTTAGAAACACCCTTAAACCCCTAGAGTTTTCCCAAATTTCACCCCCACCATGCACAAAACAACACCACTCTAAATACTCGAAACTGCGACAACAATCCTCAGTATGTACTGAACGAAGCGCATAAACTGTATCAGAGTAGAAACTTCCAAAGGTCGCAATGACATCCGCTATAATATTGGAACAAAACCTTAACTAAAAAACTTCTCACCGACCCCCAAAGTTGAATTTATTCTCTTTGATAACCACGTGACCCAACAATATATCATGCCAAACCGTCGCCACTAACCAACATCGAGTAGAACCACCCTTTATTCATAAGTTGAAGACTTCAAGACCGTCCTTGATCTCTAGAAAGACAGAGCTACCTGAATCTCAATCATATTGACCCAAAAACTCACGACGTTGCTCCATCTAAAGGATGATCTCTCACTTCTCTCAACAAACCACACTTGAGAGAAACGATTTCCTTATTCAAAATTTTTAGGATTCTGAGGTTGTGACTAACAATCCGCTGAGTAACTACATTCTGTACAACCAACATGCGGACTAAGAATTTACAGATTCGATATGTCCGAGATCTTATGGCCTCATGTCATCCTATAGGTAAAATGAGTTACGGAAAACATGGCCGGCCACCATCAAAAACCCCTTGTTCGCATACTAAAATAATACATATACTCACTTGGCTAAAATTATAATGCTCTGCTATCTACTGGCATCACTCGGGCTTACCCCACGATCCACCAACCAATAACAACACTCAGGGTTACCCCCGATCCACTACCCAATAACAACACTCGGGCTTACCCCCGTGTTCGTTAACCAATAATGACACTCACAGCCTAACATAATGTACACTGAACTAACAAGACTTAAAGAAACCTACTAGACCTTTGGGTTGTGACTAAGGGTGGAATTGGTACGGTACCAATTCGTTTTTCCTTAAACTGTGTACCGTACCAACTATACTTGGTATAAAAAAATTGCTACCAATACCGTACCAAATATATTTGGTACCAATATATTTGGCTACCAACAAGTTTGGTTGGTTGAAATTGGTAATGATATATACCGACTTATTTTACTTTTTCTATTGTAATA